TCCGCCTGTTACGTCATTTTTACCTCGCTTTTGCTGTGACAGGGAGAAGTGGAGTTCCGTTCTATACTTTATGTGCCATCTGTATCTCCAATGGGTAAGGATGACATAGTCAATCCCAAGACGAAGAATATAAGGCTTTACGTAAAGCGCGTGTTCATATCTGACGACTTTGACGGTGAACTGGTAAGAGAGAAAGCTTTATTTTTTCTATGAGAGAAGTTCATTGCTATAACATAGGAGCTTATTGATATGCCTTTTGTCTGGTATAGTTCCCACGCTACCTGAGTTTTATCAAAGGTATTGTCGACTCAAATGATCTTCCACTTAATGTATCACGAGAGATTCTTCAAGAAAGTCGCATTGTAAGTTCTTCAGGCATACTCTTTACGTTCAAGTGGTGGTGCATTTTTTAATTGCATGCTGTTAAGCTCTTGATTTTACGAACTGTGTCTTGTTGACTGTTAGGTTCGCATCATGAGGAAGCGGTTGGTGCGGAAAGCATTTGAAATGATTCAGGGCATTTCCCTCAGCGAAAACAAAGATGTATGTATATTTGCTTCTCAAGCCTTTGTGTCCATGGCATTAGTCTTATACATTTGTTGTGAAACAATTTTTTATACAGTGAAAATGTTTGTCTTTTTTTTTTTTTGAAAGTTTTTGTTATCTTCAGTTTTTTGCATTAGCTGGCCAGTTCTTCTGAATGTCATTGGGCATCTGCTATTCTTTATATGCAGGACTATGATAAGTTTTGGGAGAACTATGGAAAGCACCTAAAGTTGGGATGCATCGAAGATCGTGAAAACCACAAGCGTCTTGCTCCACTTTTACGATTTTTCTCTTCTCAAAGTGATGAATTTACGATCAGCTTGGATGAATATGTTGAGAATATGAAACCAGACCAGAAGGACATTTACTATATTGCTTCTGATAGTGTAACCAGTGCAAAGAACACTCCTTTCCTGGAAAAACTTCTTGAGAAGGATCTTGAAGTATGAGTTGTTTGAACTAACTCTAGTTGGTTTCTTGTCTGCTGTCTTCTTGCTTGCTTCACTGATATTGTCTAATTCCTTTTCCAGGTGCTGTTCTTAGTTGATCCTATTGACGAGGTTGCTATCCAAAATCTCAAATCATACAAGGAGAAAAACTTTGTTGACATTAGCAAAGAGGACCTAGATTTGGGTTAGTGATTTGAGATGTTTATCCTTTATATAATATCCTCTCCCTTTTAGCCGATCCACATATTTTGCAATACTAATAAGCTGGCTATCCATTGTTCTAGGTGATAAGAATGAAGACAAGGAAAAGGAGATAAAACAGGAGTTTGGGCAAACTTGCGATTGGATAAAGAAACGGCTAGGAGACAAGGTTGCTAGCGTGCAGATCTCAAATCGTTTGAGCAGTTCTCCTTGTGTTCTTGTATCAGGAAAGTTTGGTTGGTCAGCCAATATGGAGAGGTGAAGTGAATTTTTTCTGATGCAGATGGTTCAGTTTTGAGCTTCAAGCTGTAGCCATTTATGAAATACCTGGATTTTCTTGCAGGCTGATGAAGGCCCAAACTGTTGGTGATACCTCCAACCTGGATTTCATGAGGAGCAGAAGAGTCTTTGAGATCAATCCCGAACACCCGATCATTAGAACCTTAAATGTAAGCTGATTTTGTCCAATGATTACACCTTCTTATGTAATATAATCTTGTGTGTTTACTAACATCCTTGTTTGTCTAATACTGCAGGAAGCCTACAGGAGTACTCCAGATGATGAAGAAGCCTTGAGGGCCATTGATCTTTTGTATGATGCTGCATTGGTTTCTAGTGGTTTCACTGTGAGTCTTCATATCTTTATTCCTATTTATTCGGGTAACTGGATTTGGTCCCTGAGACAATTAACCTCAGTGAAGCTAGCATATAGTATTCATACTTGGTTATATTTTTAGGATTACTTTGGGCACAAGTGACCCTTCTTAATTATGCCAGTAGTGCTTGATATTTGCTTAGATAACTATAGGAGGTCCAAGAATGTAGTTTATTAACTTGAAGATGTACCATAACATATTAGAAATACTTTTGAACCTCATGTAAGATTTAGAAAGAAAAAGAGTATAGTAGGTGGAAGAGTTGGTAAGTGGTAGGGTGATTTTAACCAGCGGTATGCTAGAGAAGGTTCATTTCTCATGAGATACACCATTTCATAGATATTCTTTTTTAATGTGGGGTTTAAACTGGTATGGGATGATGAGTTCATCGGTTGTTTTTCTTTTTGAGGGACAAAAGGGAAACTAATAGGTGATGATAATATGGACAAAGATTCAATTATATCAGAGGAAATAGAACTATATGACAAATATTGGCTGCATAGGCGCAGTGACCTTGATTCTTATCTCTTGCATGTTGCATCAATTGTTGCAGCCTGAGAATCCGGCACAACTTGGAGGGAAGATATATGAGATGATGAACATGGCTCTTGCTGGCAAATATGGAACTGTCGGTGGGTATCAGCAGCAAGTAAACCAGCAGTCGTACATCCCAGAAACAGTCGAAGCTGAGGTGGTTGAGCCTGCTGAAGCTGGTGGACAGAAATAAAATATGTAACTTTCCATTAGTTTGTAATATAATAGTTGAGGCTCGTTAGAGATAATATTGGTACCCTATTGGTGAGCAGATCAATCGTCGGAAGTAGAAGACTTGATAAGCATTATTGTGCAGTTAAATTGAAAATTTAAAATAGAACAATAATCTTGTTTACGAATAACTTCCCAGTTCTAGCTCTGATCTTATGCTATTTGGTTTTTGACTCGTCTTATTAGTTGTTACGTCAAGAAAAGATTACCAATTCGATAATATTACTTGGCATTCGAACTGTGTTTTGTGCAGACTAATTAAAGTATTTCTGGAGGTCTTGGTGAAAACTCAATTCCTTTTTAATTTTCTGAAAAGCAATCTGATATATGAGACCTGTAAGAGCAGCAAACTCTATCTTATTTTATATTAATCTTCTTTCCTATGCCCAATTTGGATTGAGATATTACTGATATTGAACACTTGGTCGAAGGTATATATTCATATTTAGATATCTCAATTAGTTTTTCTAAATAATGTGTGAAAGACACTTTTCTAGTCAAGCTTGGATTATATGGAACGAGTGAGCAAAATTGGTCTTCAAACTGATTACATGTCTTTTGGACTTATTCTAATCCTCTGCAAGCAAGGAGTTGTATGCTTAAAATATGTATGTTATATGTGTATTATATGTTAATATACAAAAAGCTGATAAGGGTCTAATTTGCCCCTCTGCTATTATAAATAGGCCTTATTTACCATCCGTTTAATTTTTCTATCAAAAATATCCTTACCGTTATACATTAGGTTCATATTTACCCTTTCAACGTTAAAAAGGGTTATATTTGCCTTTCGTTATACTTTAGGATCATATTTACCCCTCTACTCTTCAAAAAAGGTTACATTTGCCCTTCGNGTTTGTTTCCCTTTAATACTTATGAGTTAGGAGACATGAATCACTCAATGATGTTTTGAAGTGTTTGTAGAGATACAACTGTGTAAAGTCTAAACTGGGTCAATTGACCATGATTGATTCATGAAAAGCAATTTCCTGATAGGACATTTATGAAGATTGTGCGAAATACAATAGTTATAGCAGCGGCAACATATTGACAAACAATAACTTTGAACTCAAAATCACTAATCTAATACAACTCACAATTATTNTCCCTCACCCGTTAGATCGCCATGTCCCACCTTTGTTTTCCTATATGGCGCCTATGTGGATTTATTTTTCTTCCAATTTAAATATGGTCACCTATTTAAGATAATTTAACCCCGCCCACCCAATTTAAATAAGAAACACTAACTAAAATAAATGGAAATCATAATTNGAGCTAATGAAGTCTTATTTAAATTGGGTGGGCGGGCTAAATTATCTTAAATAGGTGACCATATTTAAATTGGAAGAAAAAGAAATCCGCATAGGCGACATGTAGGAAAACAAAGGTGGGACATGGCGATCTACCGGATGAGGGTATATGTAGGGCATAATTGTAAGGATAAATATGTCAACAAAGTATAACGAAAGGCAAATGTAACCCTTTTTTGAAGAGTAGAGGGGGTAAATATGATCTTAAAATATAACGAAGGGCAAATGTAACCCATTTTAACGTGTAAGGGTAAATATGAACCTAATGTATAACGGTAAGGATATTTTTGATAGAAAAATTAAACAGAGGGTNTCCTTACTGAATTCTACTTTTCCCATTAAAGATTTTAAATAAAGAATTAGTTGCGTACCAAGAGTTGAAGTAGTTCTAATTCTTCTACTGTGCTTTTTTGTCCTTAAATTTTTCTTCTTCAAATGATTAATTACTTTTGCATTTGTAGTTATTTGTACTGTCCTAATACCCCATATCTCTATTGGTATTTGGTCTAAAATCTTTGTTTTCCCCCACTTGATATGGAAACAAACGCTGATTCTGCAATCCTCTTAGTCTTTCACTCCAACAGGGCTTGACCAATAAATAAATAAACAATAATAATACTAATAGACGATAGGTAAAAAGGTCAAATTTGCTCATGCCCTAATTTAAATTGAGCAATTTTGTTCTCAATTATATTTTGAATTTAATATCCTCACACTCATTAACCATAGTAGTTAATATAGGAGAAGTAAATTTGAACGTTTTTACTCTTAAGAGTCGTTTGATACAATGGTGGGATATTCTGGGATATCCCACGAGAGATAGTTAATCCCACCAATTTAGTAAAAAATCTATCTTGCGATTAGCTATTATCCTTATTTCATTTACCAAACCACCCTTAACTATTTTGTATGTGGAGTTCACTCATTTCTGACCGGAACTCTGTTAATAAAAATGAGAAGTGCAAGACCAATTTAGAATATTATAGAGACACAAATTGGACCTTTACTCTAGACAATAAAAACAAAAGGAAATGGAGAAAAAACCGGTTTAGTGGCTTAAAAACCGGCTAAAACGGTGTCAGATCCGGTTCTTGGTCATCGTCTGCAGTTGACTTTTCTTATTCTTTTTGCCAGCGAAATGCATAAAGATAAAGGCTGAATCTTTTTATTTCAAAAATCTGTAGTTGAAGTCTCAAATTCATCCACAAGTCTTTCCTCTACAGAAATGTGTCTGAATTAGTAAGTGAAAAACTCTTTCCATTTTTCATTTAAGCTTTTCCTGAAACCATAAATATTCTGTTTGTCCGCATTTTTTTGGTTGACCCAACTTATGTTACTTTAATTTCTTTAGTGTATTCAAATTGGTTTCAGCTGATTTCCAATTTTTATTTTTATTTGTTGTTTCTTTTGCAAGTATTCTGAGAATTTGAGGATGTCCCATAACCATCTTGATGTTCTTGAAATTCATTTTTGTTACAAAAAAATGAAATGATAGTTAATACAAATACTTGTCTGGTTTAATTATTTGGATTTTATCTCATGAATTAATTGTTTGTAATGCTTAGAGTTTGGTGAAAATTAATTATTGATTTCTCACACTTTAGGTTGGAGAAAGATATCCGATCTTCATAAAGTTGTAATCTTTAATATATAGTGGAAATAGGCAGCTCTTAGTTTTAGTTTGGATCCATTTGAAAATGTTTTAAATTACATTTCCATAGGTAAAAGGTGTCAAGCTGCTTGTTTACAAAGACATAAAATGATTTTTAGAGGCTTAGTTTGAGATGTTATTAAATTAGCTTTATCCATTTTTCATTATTTCCATTGACATTACATTGATGTTTACTTCACATGTTTTTCTTTCAGGTGCTGATATATAAGTTATCAACCTTCATCAAATATGCTGCCTCCACATCCCAACGGGTTACAACCGTCCTTGTTTCTTGCATCTTCTGATAATCATGAGCCAAGAATGAACTCTGATCAGATTCGTGAATCGCCTGCTGAGAGTGCTAGTTCCTGGCCCGCTATTGATGCTGCCGCCCAACTGAAGCTTGAGAATCAGAAAGCTGAGGATGGTTATTACGAGCAGTCTGTCACTCGCGGGCGTTCTAGTGCAAATAGGATCTCTCTTCTTGATATAGCAAGAGAGCGAGTGGATATAATATCTGAGCAAATGCATTTGCTCCCTAATGAGTATTTAGAAGAGCTAAAGGGTAGGCTTCGAGCGATGCTTGAGGGGAACGGGAGTTCTCAACAAAGAGACGAATTTATGGTTTTGCAGAGGCTTGTTCAGAGGAGGTCGGATTTGACCGCAGAGACATTGATTAAAGCTCATCGGGTTCAGCTGGAAATTGTTGTTGCTATTAAAAGTGGAATTCAATTTTTCCTGCATCAAAGTATGAATCTTTCTCAGACTGCCCTGATTGAGGTTTTCGTATACAAGAGATGTCGGAATATAGCATGCCAAAGTCAGTTGCCTGCAGAAGATTGCCTTTGTGAGATATGCACCAATAGAAAGGGATTCTGCAGCCTTTGCATGTGTGTTATCTGTAACAAGTTTGATTTTGAAGTGAATACATGTCGGTGGATCGGTTGCGACTCCTGCGCTCATTGGACTCACACGGATTGTGCAATTCGTGATAAACAAGTTGGAACAGGTGCTTCTCCTGTGAATGGGCTGGGGTCTGCTGAAATGCAGTTCAGGTGTAGAGCATGCAACCGCACTTCTGAGCTTTTAGGCTGGGTGAATGATGTATTCCAACACTGTGCTCCAATGTGGGACAAGGAATCTTTTCTAAGAGAACTAACTGTTGTAAGTAAGATATTTCGACTGAGTGAGAACACAAGAGGGAGGCAGCTTTTTTGGAAGTCTGAGGAGCTCATTGAAAAACTAAAGGGTGGAGTCGCAGAGACAACTGCTTGCAGGAGTATATTATCTTTTCTCCAAGGTAAATCTTGTATCTTGCTCTCTATTGCTACTGCACCTTCTAGAAATGATGCATAAAAAGGTAGAATCTATCAATGGTGAACCTAACAATTAATCATTTGCTTCTCTTATGAGAAGTTAGAAATATCCTACATCTGCTTGGTGGACATCTTTAATCCCATAAGTATCCATCAAAAGCATTTAAAACTGCTAAATGCTTTATATCTAAATGTTGAGGCGTAGTTGTTTGATTGATATGCCTTGGATCTGAAGCTGTATCCAATACTTTCCGTCTTTAGTCTAGGTACCATGGGATGAAATGTGTAACAGTAACTCATGACAGAGTGTTGACAGAGAGATTGAAGAAATGATTGATACATAAAGGATTCCTTTCATGCTCCTCCTTTGTTGATCGCATCATCTTTTTTATCCAGTTCTTAGTTATTGTTTTGCTTTAGATAGATAATTAACTTTTACAGAAGGGACATGAAGCAGTACAATCGTTGAGGACCAGGTTCTTCTAACTTAAATTGGTAGCGAAATTGTAATACGGAAGAAACTTGAAAAACTTTGAAGACTATTCTAGCAAGGTGTTTCAACTACGATCTGTAACCCATATTATTAGGTTTAGACTGCCAAAGACCCCACTTTTCTTAGACCAAAAAAATGCAGGAAAATTACTTTTTTCTCTACTAGTATGTTTGTATTTCTTTTATAGCTCAATGTGCCACAAAGCTTTCCCTTCTTCCTCCCGAATCTTTAAAAGTCTGGTCTATAACATACCCAGTAAGCAAATAAGTAGTTCCTACATGACCAAATATAAAACCATCATCCATATTCATTAACTAAGGAACACTGTAAGAAGAGAGTTAGGAATCTTTCCTGGTTTCCTATATAGTAAGCAAATAAGTAATTCCTTTTTAGCTTCTGAAGAACCAAAGAACATTTGAGAGCCTTAAACTCAGATGAAACTTTTGGGGTGTGCTTGGTACGAAGGAAAATGTTTTCCTAAAAAATGAGTGGTTTTATCACTTATTTTCCCGTGCTTGGTTGGTGAGTGAAAAACTTTTTCCGGAAAATATTTTCTAGTGTTTGTTTAGAGAGTAGAAAATATTTTTTAGAAAAATAATTTTTTATGCTACTTTCCTTACCCCCTTCCCCCAAATACCCATATTTTCTGTGCTCCCCCTACCTCCCCTGACGGAAAATACTCATTTTGTTGAAATGAAAGAAAATATTTTTTACTATATCATTTTGTTGAAATAAAAGAAAATACTTTTTACTACATCATTTTGTTGAAATGAAAGAAAATACTTTTTCAACATCATGAAAAGAAAGTACTTTTTTGTTGAAATGAAAGAAGATATTTTTTACTACATCATTTTGTCGAAATAAAAGAAAATACTTTTCAACATCATGAAAAGAAAGTACTTTTTTGTTGAAATAAGAGAAGATACTTTTTACTACATTATTTTGTTGAAATGAAAGAAAATACTTTTTCTAAATCATGAAAAGAAAGTACTTTTTTTGTTGAAATGAAACAAAATACTTTTTTTATATCATGAAAAAAATACTCATTTTGTTGAAATGAAAAAGAAAGTACTCTATCTACAACATGAAAAGAAAGTATTCTTAATAATATTTCTNGGAAGTAATAAAATGAGTGATTAAATTGATAAATCATCGTTGCCAGAACCAAAGTGTGGTCTTTTGAATACAAGAAACCGAAATAGGTGAAAAATAAAATTGATAACCTTTCTATATATAACGCCCTTTTAAAGGGCGCTATACTTTAACGTCAGTTTTGTCCGTTAAGGTATAGCGCGGTAAATAACTGCGCTATACCAAGTGTTTGCATTTTAATGCATAGCGCTCTAAACAAAAGCGCTATATCTGTTTGCATTTTCAGTAAGACCTGCTATGTGCCCCCTCTCTCTCTCCATTGATGGCACTAATTTTCTTTTTCTTTTTTCTTTTCTGTTTTTTTTAAATTCATTTTCTCCACTATGGCTACCCCAATCTATTTTTTTTAATTCATTTTTACCATGCCCCCGCCTATGAGGAAATTGTAGTTTTTTGAGCATTACATAGTAGTATTTGAACATTGTAGGAATACTTTACTCCATTATTATTGTAATTTTTAAAATGTAGATCTAGGACCATGAAAATTTTAACCTCCTTGTTGAGTTGAGGCGTTCAGGTAATATGAAAAAATCAAATCAAACCGAAGATCAACTCAAACTAAAGAAGAAAACTGATTTTGTTATGATTTTAATTTTAAAAATCGATAAATTTTGATTTGATTTTGGTTTTAAGTAAAAAATAATTGAAAATAAACTAAATTGACTATATAAATACATATCTAAAAATAATAATTACATATATATATATATGCATATTTTTGGGTAAATCATAAATTTTTTTACATTACATATATTATTTTTTTGTACAATTGATTTGTAATCTAGTCCTTTGTCTTAATAGTAATTTAGATATTTGCTCTTACTTTCTAGTTGGATTTGTAGTCTTTGTTTGATAAGTTCAAGAATATATTTCATATTAAAAATAATTTATCTTTAATTGGATCCATAAATTATTCATTAGTTTTTAATTCAAAATTCTCATCAATATATCTTGATAAATGATAGATTTTCTTAAAAAGTAATTGGCATGGTAGTATTATGCTAGATTATAGTCGGTTGAATATGTGTTTGACAATGTATTTAACATACCTTAAGAAAATTTAACAAAAAATTTAAACACCGAAAACCCAATAAAACCGACAAAAAGCGAATCGATGAAAATCGACTCAATTGCTTTGATTTGGTTTATATATTTAATAAATTGACTTAATTGGTTTGATTTTATAAACACTCCAACTGTCGAGGATAATATATCTTTTAATAAAAAAATTATAAAATACTCTCTGTCCCTCAAAAGATTGTCTTTTTAGTTCATTTTATCAGATTAACCGTATCGCTTAAACGGATCACATCATATTAGACTTTTATTAAAAAAAAAACTATAAAAGAGGGATTATATTTTGAACATGCTGTGGGTGAGATTTCTAAAATTCAAATCTTTCAAAGTTGATTATATTTTTTAAATTTGAATTTAAAAGAGGGATAACTCGTATAAAAAGGTTTTGAAAACTAAAAAGAAATAAATCTCCAATACAACTTGAAATAAAAGGAATATTATTTCCTCATAGGTGGGGGCATGGTAAAAATGAATTAAAAAAATAGATTTGGGTAGCCATAGTGGAGAAAATGAACTAAAAAAACCAGAAAAGAAAAAAGAAAAAGAAAATTAGTGCCATCAATGGAGAGAGAGAGGGCACATAGCAGGTCTTACTGAAAATGCAAACAGATATAATGCTTTTGTTTAGAGCGCTATGCATTAAAATACAAACACGGGTATAACGCATTTATTTACCGCGCTATACCTTAACAGACAAAACTGACGTTAAAGTATAGCGTCCTTTAAAAGGGCGTTATATATAGAAAGGTTACCAATTTTGTTTTCCACCTATTTCGGCCTCTTGTGTCCTAAAGAACCGCACTTTGGTTCTGGACTCCTGCTCTTATTGACCTATTGTGACATTCCTCTCTCTCCTATTATTAACTGTATAATAGAAGTAAATCAAGTATGGATTTAGACCTGCAAACATTTTGACAATACTCCACTACATTACTGAGAATTATTAATAGGGCTATGGGCTACCACAAGCTAAAGATGTAAAGACATATTTATCAGACAGGATAAGACAAAAATAAACTATTCTTGTTACGTATATGCAGAACTAAATTTGGGCTCAACTTGTTGACATCCTTTAACATAGTATTAGACCATTAGTTACCTTTTTTCTGTTTCTCACCGGTGTCTGATATGTGCTTTGGTGTACCGACTATCCCTGGTTCGGGTCGTGTAAGGCTCATTAAAGAAAAAATACTTCTTACCAAAATTTTTTGATATTAGGTCTCGAGTCCGAAACCTCAGGTTAACTAGTGACAACACTACCTTGCAAAAACTGAAATGGATAGAACAAACTTTTGTAGCCTAATGTTAAACTTGACCAGAATTCAGATTCCTAATAATTTGATGGGGAGGCATTAACAACCACCTCCAAACAAACCGACCCTGAACAAGTTTCCTCATGGCCATGTGATATATGGATTGACAGTTCAACATTTTTAATTTTTAATTTTTTTTTCTTTTATAAATTAATCGTTTCTACGAGTAAAATGATCTTTTATAAAGTCTGCTGATTTAATTTTTAACATGGGATTTCTTGCTTTTTTCCCCCCTTCAGTCAAAAAAGAAATTCGTGCCCTTTTGCTTTTCTGTTTTTTAGTTTATAGAAATACAATTTAGTCATGAATTTTTTTTTTTAAAAAAAAGATTCTGAAAAAAGGTACCCTAATGAACATTTACAAGTTCACGAATGAAGTAGATGCAACAACAATAAACTTGGGTCAATGATACACGTTTTTTGAATAAAGAGTCAAGTAGAGGAGCAGTAGTTAGAAATTCAAATTGCCGTTAGAGTTAGTTAGAAGTTAGTTGGAGTTAGTTAGAATAACTAACTACTGTTGGTTAGAAGATCTGTTAGCAAAGTCAGTAGTAGAGAATCTATAGAAAGGGGATTCATTCAATTGTAATAGATATAAATACAATTGTCATGAACAATTACAATCATATATGAAATTACATTCTTCTATCTCAATCTCTCTGTAACTCTAACCATATCTGAATTTCTCGAAGTTCTTCCTGAATCAGCATTACGATCCTCGAGTTCAATCGAGCTCCTGCAATCGTATAACATTGGTATCAGAGCCACCCACCACCTTCCGTGCCCACCGTAGTGACGCCGATATTGCAGTGTTCGCCCGGGGCTAGAAAAGTCTAGCACACAGCTGTTGGGACGACGGATGCGGAGCGTGGTGGTTTGTTATGGTCCATTGCAAGGTATGAGACTTGATCCCACATCGGTATTGCAATATGCTGATGTGGGGTTTATATATCCTTGGGCTCTCCCACCTTAATAACTAGCTTTTGGGGTGTGGTTCTTCCCGAGTTGTATTAATGGTATAAGAGCTCTCGATCCTTGGAATCATGGCGAAAGGCACACGATCGACGGGTAACTCAACTGAAGAACCAGCTGATCTGCGTGAATTGATGCAGAAATTAATCGCAGATGTTGGGGCTCTATCTAGAGAGGTCTCAAATCTGAAACGTCTGGACCAGACTGTTCTATAACTAAAAGAATAGTTGACTCATTCTGGAGAAAATCAAAGGGATAAGACTCTTATACAACATGAAGGCGAACCATCTGATGAAAGGTCACCAAGAGAAAAGAGTCCTGCCAATTATAACCATCACAACTCCAATTTCTCGAGGTGGTCGAGGATAGAATTCTTGAGGTCTAATGGGGAAGATCTGAAATCGTGGCTATTCAAAATTGAGCAGTTCTTCTCCATGGAGAAGGTTCCTGCTGAAGAAAGGATGGAGTTGGCTGCAATGCAGTTAGAAGGTGAAGCTATATAGTGGCATTTAGCATTTATGAGGTATAGACAATATTCCAACCAGCTACATGGACTAAGTATATGATGGAAATGGTGGAAAGATTTGGAGTTGACTTTGATGATCCTATGGAAGAGATCAAGAAGATCAGGCAAACGGGTATTGTCAAGGAGTACCAAGTTGTTTTTGAAAGAAATCTCACAAGAGTTAACCTGTCACAAGAAAATGCCATCAGTTATTTTCTTGGTAGACTGAAACATGAGTTGAATATTGCAGTAAAACTCACCAATCCCACTACCTTATCCCAGGTGTACAAAACTACTAGGATGCAAGAGGCTTATTTAGCTGCTATTAGACAACCTTCTTCAGTCAGCTATGCACCAACCAGCATTAGAAGTCCCAGCATTAGTAAGGGGTTGTTCTACTTCTGCAATGAGAAGTATGTACTTGGGCATAAGTGTAAGAATGCCAAACAAATATATGTATTGGAGTTAGAGAAAATAGAGGAGGGACATGACATAGAGGAGGAGGGTGAACTGATACTACAGGAGGAAGAGTTCAAGCAACTAGAACCAGCTCAGCCCATAGAGCAGATGGAGATTTCTATCCATGCTCTAAATGGTTCTCTAGGCTACAAAACTCTGAAGGTGACCGGGTATCATGCTAAAAAGGCCTTGAACGTACTAATTGATACTGAGAGTTCACATAATTTCATAGATTCTGATTTG